GGCCTCCCAAAGTGCTGGGATTACAGGCGCGAGCCACCGCGCCCGGCCTTTTTTTTTTAAGACAGAGTTTCCCCTGTTGCCCAGGCTGAAGTGCGTGGTGGGATCTCAGCTCACTGCAACCTCTGCCTCCTGAGTTCAAGCGATTCTCCTGCCTCAGCCTCCTAAGTAGCTGGGATTACAGGCATGACCCACCACACCTGGCTTTTTTTTTTTTTTTTTTGAAATGGAGTCTCGCTCTATCACCCAGACTGGAATGCAATGGTGCAATCTTGGCTCACTGCAACCTCTGCCTCCCGGGTTCAAGCAATTCTCCTGCCTGAGCCTGAACAGTAGCTGGGATTACAGGCACCTGCTACTACGCCAGCTAATTTTTATATTTTTAGTAGAGAATGGGTTTCACCATGTTGGCCAGGTTGGTCTCGAACTCCTGGGCTAAAGCGATCCTCCCGTCTCAGCCTCTCAAAGTGCTAGGACTACAGTCATGAGTCACCGTGCCTGGCCTTCCCTATATTTTTCTTTGTTAGTGTAAACAGAGGCCACTCTGGACATGGCTCTGAGCCATGAGGCCTAGACTCCAATCCTGACCACTCAGGGGCTGTGAGACCCTGGGCAGTGGGACCCTAGCTACTCTGTGCCTCAGTTTCCCCAATGGGAGCCATAGCACCCCTCCACCTTGGGGCCTGTGGTGAGGACTGAAGGTGGGATCCCTGTGAAGCGTGACCGTAGTAGCACCTGCCTGTGGACACATCATTGCAACCTAATTGAAGATTTTGAGAAAAGCAACTTGTCCTCACTCCCAGAAAGAGAAAATCTCAAATGAGGGTACCATCTAGGTCTTTCATCTGTCCATAAACTTCCCAACAGCATCTCACCTGCCTCCGAGGACCCCAGCCTGTCACATGTGCCCAGGGATGGTTTTTCTTCCCAGGCAGCCCACTTATGGTTCTCAGCTCAACTGTCGCCTCTCCCTGGAAGCCCTCGGTGATTTCTCCCCACCTGAGTTGGGTTAGGGACCTCCTCCTGGCCTGTGTGACCCCGGCAACAGCCCTGATTACCCTTCTTGGTGATGTATCTGTCTCATTCTGTGAAGGCAGGGACTGAACCAGTGACAGGCATTCGGTATTACCACCCCCTTGCCCAGCCCCAGCAGGCACCTTGATGACCAGGAAGATGTCAGGTGAGGGGTAGGTCACGGAGAAGATGGCAGAGCGGGCCAAGGTGGAGATGGCAGGGTGGGTGCCATGAGCCCGAAGCAGCCCCTTTATGGAGTCCGAGTTCAGGTCGAAGTAGAAGTTCTCCGAGATCTGGGGACACCAGAGGCAGCTGGGCCACTACCTATGGGAAGCCCACAGCCCCCCAACAAGGAGGAGGAAGGGGAGGAAAGAGAAAAAAGGGGCTCCTACCTTCTTTTTCTCCCGCACGTCATACAGAGCCAAGATCCCAAAGATGGGCTCAATTTCAATCTCAAACCTACAAGTAAATGGGAGGGAGGGGGTTCTCCTTAATACTTCCCGCCATCCACACACCCCACTCCCTCTTGGGGCCCAAGGTGGAGGGCATCTGACTCCCACTGGGCCACATGGAACCGCCACTTAAGGGCTTACAGAAAAGGTACATCTCATTTTGCAAAAGGGGAAACTGAGGCAGTAAAGGTTTTTTTATTGTTTTTTTTGAGACAGAGTCTTGCTCTTTTGCCCAGGCTGGAGTGCAGTGGCGCGATCTTGGCTCACTGCAACCTCTGCCTCCCCAGTTCAAGTGATTCTCCTGCCTCAGCCTCCCAGGTAGCGGGGATTACAGGTGTGTGCCACCACACCAGGTGAATTTTTGTATTTTTAGTAGAGACGGAGTTTCACCGTGTTGGCCAGGCTGGTCTCAAACTCCTGACCTCAAGTGATCTGCCCACCTCGGCCTCCCAAAGTGCTGGGATTACAGGTATGAGCCGCTGCACCTGGCCCCCAGGCTGGTCTTGAGCTCCTGCACTCAAACGATCTTCCTCCTGCCTCAGTATCCCAAAGTATTGGGATTACAGGCTTCAGCCACTGCACCCCAGCCTTACCCCTACATTTGATCAACTCTGCCCCCAGGACCCCTGCCTGCCCTGCTGCCATAATCCACCCATTATCCGCCCTATATCCATCTTATTAATTCTGCTTCTTGTCTATGGTCCTCATTAGAAGGCACAGTTAGCCCCCAAGGTCAGGGATTTGTCTATCAAGGTCACGGTTGGGTCTCTGATGCCCCTGGCACAGTAGGTACTCTCGGTGTAGGTTTGTTGAGTGACTGAGTGAGAGTGATACTTCCTGTGTACGGGGTGTGCCACGCACCAGTCACAGGACGTAGTCGCCGCAGCAGGGACGACGGGCGCCTCATGTCAGCCAGGAACTTGAAGAGGTCCTCGTCACTAAGTCGCTCAGCCTCCTACATGGGACCCGCTCCCGTCAGCCTGGGCCGGGGGGCTAGGGGTCCCCAGGGCTGATGCAGCCAGCGGGGAGAGGGACAGTCCCTGGCCCCGGGGTAGGACACCTGCTTAAAGAAGTTTGTGACAGTTAGCGTGGCTGGGCGGAAGCCAGAGAAACTGCAGGCGTCGTCCCCACTACTCGCCCGGTCCTGGGGCCCCCGACGGCGGCGGTCTGTCCAAGCTGGCCGGCGCTCTAGAGGAGGGAGTGACAATGACAAAAGGGGGACCAAGATGAAACAAGGAGACTCAGGGGCGGCACAGTTCGGCCAGCAGAGGGCGCACCCCACTCGCTCCGTAGCCCCGCCCCAGGCCTGTCAGCACCACCCTTTAGCCCCGCCCCGATTCCCGCCCCAGGGCTGTTAGCCCCGCCTCCTCACCGCCCTCCGAGTCAGAGTCCCGGTCCAGCTGCCCAGCGCTGCTCACGATGTTGGCCAAGTGCACGGCCGTCCAGGCAAAGGGCATGCGGTAGCGGCCCAGGCGGGTGCAGAACTGCTCAGCCGCCAGGCGCAGCTTCTCTAGCTTCTCTTTGTTCTATGGGGAGACCCCCGTCCCCTGCCAGCTCAGCATCCTAGCCCTGCTGAGTCAGGAATCTGGCCTGCCCCTGGTTCAGCCCCCACACACTTACCTTGGCTGTGTCTACTTCTTTCATCACCATGTAAGGCTCACAGCACTCACTGATGTCCCCTTGCTGAAGCACCTTCTCCAACTGCGGGGCAGATGAATGAATCCAGTGAGGCGCCGCCCGAACGCTCTGTTCCTTCCTACTGACTCCCCAGCCTCCAGGACCCCTCATGGGCCCTCAGACACTCCTATCATATGAAGGCTTTTGCTCCAACACCTCCCATGGCTCCCACTGTCCTTAGGATCAAGGGTTAGTGCTTGACCTGCCTGGTGGCTACTCCCTCCCATTCTTCAGATCCACCCCCAAACTCCAAGCCCACCTTTAGCTGGTGATATTTTCCCTACATTTACTTATTTATTTACATTTATGTATGTATGTATGTATGTATGTATGTATGTATGTATTATAGAGACAGGGGTCTCGCTATGTTGCCCAGGCTGGTCTCAAACTCCTGGGCTCAAGTGATGCCCCCACCTCTGCCTCCCAAAGTGCTGGGATAACAGGCATGAGCCATCACGTCCCCGGCTTGCCATGCAAATTTTTTTTTTTTTTTGAGATAGAGTCTTGCTTTGTCGCCTAGGCTGGAGTGCAGTGGCGTGATGTCCGCTCACTGCAAGCTCCGCCCCCTCCGGGTTCATGGCATTCTCCTGCTTCAGCCTCCTGAGTAGCTGGGACTACAGGCACGTGCCACCACGCCTGGCTAATTTTCTGTTTGTTTTTTCTTTTTTGAGATGGAGTATCGCTGTCTCACCCAGGCTGGAGTGCAGTGGTGCGAACTCAGCTCACTGCAAGCTCCGCCTCCCGGGTGCATGCCATTCTCCTGCCTCAGCCTCCGAGTAGCTGGGACTACAGGTGCCCACGACTGCGCCCGGCTAATTTTTTGTGTTTTTAGTAGAGACGGGGCTTCACTGTGGTCTTGATCTCCTGACCTCGTGATCCGTCCACCTCGGCCTCCCAAAGTGCTGGGATTATAGGCATGAGCCACTGTGCCCGGCCAATTTTTTGTGTTTTTAGTAGAGACAGGGTTTCACCATGTTGGCCAGGCTGGTCTCGATCTCCTGACCTCGTGATCCGCCCATCTCGGCCTCCCAAAATGCTGGGATTACAGGCGTGAGCCACCGTGCCCGGCCGACGCTGAAACTTTTTTTTCCCCCTTCCTACACCCTTAGTAAGTAACTCACACAGAGTTCCTCCTCCCTGCAACCACAGCCCTTTTTCAGTTGGCATGGGGGCAGTTTTGGGCTCAACAATCCCCACATCTTGAAATTCTCAACTTCTGGGCTTCCCCGTCTCTCCTTTCTGGGGTGTCATCTGCCACCACTGTCACGCTGCATGGAGTTCCCATCTCGCTCACCTGAATGGCCACCATAAGTCCTTCCCTGTCTTACTCTACCTTGCTGGCCTCCGCTCACCATGCACCTCCAAACTGAAACACTGAGTACTCCCCGTTACATCCCTTCCATCCTCTCTATTCAGCCAGTTCCTCTTCCTCACTGAGTCTCCACGTACACGTCCCTCTGCAAGGGAAGCTGTCCCAGATACCCGCTCCTACCCCTCAAGCTGGGTCAGGAGCCTCCTCCAGGACTCTACACACTTTCAGTGTCACTTATCCTGGCTCTGTGTGGTCATTACATGGTTATGTGTCCTGTATACAGTAGGGACTTCATAAATGGTTTTTTTGTTTGTTTTTTGAGGCTGGAGTGCAGTGGCACAATCTCAGCTCACCGCAACCTCTGTTCTCCGGGTCAAGTGATTCTCCTGCCTCAGCCTCCTGAGTAGCAGGGATTACAGGTGCCTGCCACCACGTCTGGCTAATTTTTTTTTTTTTAGTAGAGATGGTGTTTTGCCATGTTGGCCAGGCTGGTCTCAAACTTAGCTCTGGTGATCCGCCCGCCTCGCTTCCTAAAGTATTAGGATTACAGGTGGGAGCCACCGCGCCCGGCCAGTAAGTGTTTGTTGAATGACTGGATGAGCCCACAGAGCCAGTTCCCAATCCTTGTGTTTAGGGCAGGAGGCCCACCCAGGCCTCAGGCCAGCATGGAGCCTCCCTTTCCTGCCCTGATCCAGGCAGGAACTCGGGGTGGGGAGAGGCAGGGCCAGGCTCAGGTCCAAGTCCACATCCTGTTCAACTCTGTTCCCACGCACTTCTGCTGCTCCCTGGGGGCTGGTGTGGAGGGGGCTGAGAGCCAGGCCCAGGGTCACTAGCACCCGCCCCAAAGCCTCCCAGCCAAACCCTGGATCCCAGCAGCAGGGCCGGCAAGCGCCAGACTCCAGCTTCACAAGTTGTATGGTCTTGGCACCATGATGTTACCACTCTGTGCCTCAGTTTCCCCACCTTTGCCCACTTCATGAGGTTGTGGTGAAGATTAGATGGGTTCATATACATGAAAGGCTGAGAACTGATCCTGGCATACAATTGGCACTTAAGAATTGGTGACTTGGGATAACGAAAAAGGAAGTCTTACTTCCCCCTATAAAAGCCCATAGGTGGCCACATAGGTGACAGGGCCGCACACAGTAATGGCACTACTCATGTAGTGTGTACCCCACCGGAACCCACGCGGTCCTTTCACGCATCTAAGAAGAGGGACCCATCGGTACACTCACTTGAGCGACAGACACTTGACCAAGATCCTCTGTCCAAAGTGCTCGCGGGGTGGCTCTGGGCGGCTACAGCGTTCCACGGCTTCGTCCTGCCAAGAGTCGGGGGCAGGAGCTGCGGGGGAGCAGCTGGGACATCCTCCAGGAAGGGTCTGGAATGCCCAGCTTCAGACCAGCTCTACCCCAGCCTGACTAACCGTCTTTCTGTCCCTGCCTCTGAGCCTTTACACATGCTGTTCCCGTGCCTGGAATGCCCATCTTCTCCCGCTCCTCCTTGTCTGGCTAATGTCTGCTCACTGTTCATATATACTTCTGCTATATAGAGGTACATAGTAGGTGTCCATGTATAGAAGCTTTTTTTTTTTTTTTAAATGGAGTCTCACTCTGTCGCCCATGCTGGAGTGCAGTGGTGTGATCTTGGCTCACTGCAACCTCTACCTTCCAGGTTCATGTGATTCTCCTGCCTCAGCCTCTGGAGTAGCTGGGATTGCAGCTTAGCCAACCCTTCCTCCAGGAAGTCCTCCCTGATCCCTGAGGCCTGGGCAGGCACCTCTTCAGGTGCCCACAATGTCCTGGTGTAAGGAGCCATGGTGGCTGGGACACTGAGGACCGTGTGAGGGACAATTACCAGCACCTCATCATGGCACTACTCTGTCTGGGTTATAAGCTCCTAGTAGAGAGGTCTCTCCTCCACCAGTGAACTCTGAAGGCAGGGACTGGGTCTCTCTATTCATGGCTATATCCCCAATGCCAACAATACAGTGGGTACCCAAACATGTTAGTCAAATTATTATAGAGGTATACAATAGGTACCTACTAAAAGTTGGTTGGATGAACATAAGCACATACAGAAAGCATCCAATAAATGCTGATTGGTGAAATAGGGATATATACCCAATAAGGCACCCAATAAGTACTGATTGAATAAATATGGGTGTATATAGTAAGCACTCAATAAATGGCTAAATACAAACACAGGAGTATACACTAGGTACCAAATAAATGTTGGTTGGATAAAAATAGGCGTATGTGGTAGGTGTTCAATAAATATTGGTTGATTAAATAGAGAACTATACAGTAGGCATTCATGTATTGAATAAATATAGGGATATACAGTTGGTACCCAATACATGCTTGTTGGATAAATAATTTTTAAAAATTTATTTTCTGGCCGGGTGCAGTGGCTCATGCCTATAATCCCAGCACTCTGGGAGGCTGAGGCAGGTGGATCACAAGGTCAGGAGTTTGAGACCAGCCTGGCCAACATGTTGAAACCCCATCTCTACTAAAAATACAAAAATTAGCCAGGCGTGGTGGCGCACGCCTGTAGTCCCAGCTACTCAGGAGGCTGAAGCAGAAGAATCGCTTGAATCCAGGAGGTGGAGGTTGCCGTGAGCTGAGATCGTGCCACTGCACTCCAGCTTGGGCGACAGAGCGAGACTCATCTCAAAAAAAAAAAATTTATTTTATATATGTTTTTACCTTTCCTATGGTGTTGATGGTTGGATAAATATAGGAGTATATAGTAGGTGTCCACATATAAAAGCTATTGAATAAACTTAGGAGATACAGTAGGTGCCCACTAAATGCTGGTTGGCTAACTATAAAAGTATACAGTAGGTGTCCATATACAGAAGCTATCTTGTTTTTTTTTTTGAGTCTCGCCTCAGCTTCGCAAAGTGCTGGGATTACAGGTATGAGCCACCACGCCCAGCCAGAAGCTACTTTTTTTGTTTTTGTTTTTGTTTTTTTTGAGACAGAGTTTTGCTCTGTTGTCTAGGCTGGAGTGCAGTGATGTTGATCTCAGCTCACTGCAGCCTTGGCCTCCCGGGTTCTGGAGATTCTCATGCCTCAGCCTCCTAGGTAGCTGGGATTACAGGCACCTGCCACCATGCCTGGCTAACTTTTGTATTTTTAGTAGAGACGGGGTTTCGCCATGTTGACTGGTCTTGAACTCCTGGCCTCAAGTGATCTGCCCACCTTGGCCTCCCAAAGTGCTGGGATTACAGGCCTGAGCCACCATGCCTGGCCTAGAAGCTATTGAATAAGCATAGGGTATACAGTAGGCACCCAATACATGCTGGTTGGATATAGGGGTATATAGTAGGTGTCCACATATAGAATCTATTTAATAAACATAGGATATACAGTAGGTGTCCAATAAACGCTGATTAGATTACTATAGGGGTATATAGTAGATGTCCATCTATAGAAGCTATTGAATAAACATGAAGTATACAATAGGCACCCAGTAAATGCTGGTTGGCTGATATCTGGGAAGGGGCACCTACCTCGTCAGGCGCCGGGTAGAGGGTAAGCAGGGCCGGGGGCCGGTGCTGCCGTCGAAGGCTTTCATTGCGCCGGTCCACATCTTCTGGGGCCGCCCGCTCTAGCAGCGAGGGCAGCAATGAGTCAGCTGCCAGGTTCCTCAGGTCGAAGATGCTAGAGGCACCACTGCTTCGAGGGGTGTCTTCCGGGGAGCCTGAGCCGCGCCGGGAGTCATTCTGCCAGTGGACAATGAGCAAGCACTGAGTGCCAGCTGTATACACCCTCACCACACTCTGGTGAGAGTGTCCTCAGACTCATTCTAGAGATGGGGAAATTGAGGGTCAGGGGCTGAGGGTCATCACTGTAAGGATCACCTGGGGGTTTTGCCTACCCTCTTTCCAGAAACTTCTGTCTGGAGAGCCTCCCAATTTTTACCATTGTTGGGGGAGGCTACTCCTTATCCCACATTTGGGGCTTCAGGTGATTCTTATCTAGCCAATCAGAACACATCCACCCACCCTAGGGACTGGCTCCAAGGGCCTGGGCTGGGCCAATGAGAGCCTTCCCTGGGACTTTGTTCACTGTTGCCAGGGAAGGAGAGAGTTCCTCCTGACCTTCCTGCACTGGATCAAATCTCAGCTCAGCTCTGTGACACTGAGTCTCTGACCCCCAACTTTAAGGGCCTCAGTTTCCCCATGTACATCTAAACATAATAACAAAAATAGCCGGCGTGGTGGCCCATGCCTGTAATCCCAGCTACCCAGGAGGCTGAGGTGGGAGGATCGCTTGAACCCGGGAGGTGAAGGTTGCAGTGAGCTGAGATCGTGCCACTGTACTCCAGCCTGGGTGACAGAGTGAGACTCCATCTCAAAATAATTAATTAAAATAATAATAATAATGAAAACAACAATAATCTTTGGAATAATTACGGTTGGTATACAGTAAGTGCCCAGTAAATGTTGACTGACAAAATACAGGCTCAAGGCCTCTAAGAACCTTGCTGTGCCTCAGTTTCCTCACCTGGGTGTAATGGCTGCCCTGACTCCTAGGATGAAAGGAGAGAACACATATAAAGCCTTTAGTATACCCTAAGCACTCAATAAATGTTTACAATTATGACCCCTAACTTTTTACTCATGGGGACTGATGCAATTCCTTTTGAGCTCAAGACTGTTTGGGTCATTTCCTGTCACATGTGACCAAAACCTGAGACTGGAGCCTCCACACATACCCCTTCAGTGACCCCAGCCAGGGAATTCCTCACCGAGTCCTCAGGGCCGGACCTCTCGTCTCCAGAAGCATCCTGCTCAAAGACCTGGCGGGGGAGGCCCTTCTGTCGCTCTCGCTGTGTCTCCGTGGTGACGGGGCTGTATGCTGCACTCAGGTACTGATACCTAGCAGGAAACGGGGCTGGGCAGGTAGGGAGGGCTGAGGGCCCCCAGGGGCTCCCCAGTGTGTTCCGACACACCTACTCGGCCCCTAGAAGCCACCCTCCTCGTGCTCCACCTGACAAGTTTGCCTGCTCTTGCAGGGACAATGGGCAGATACACAGTAGGACCGGCTGCAGACATCAGCTCAGCCCTTTTGGGTTCCGAACCCCCTGAGCTGCCCCCAAGTCAGACTCACCTTCTGTGGACGATGACCCAGTCCTCGATATACATCTCCACTGCGGCCCTCACCTGAGCATCCAGTTTTCTGCAGTAAAAGAAGATCAGGGTAAACAGAGGCAGGGTCTCTGCGAATCCTTCTGCTAGCCTGTAAGGTTAGCACTGTCCTGCCTATTCCAGACAAGGAGAGACAGAGGCTCAGAGAAAAAGCATGGCTTGTCCAAGGTCACGGCCCAGCCAGGAGCTGAACTCGGGCGGTTGATGTGGATGGCAGAGACAGAGCGGAATCACAGGCCGAGAGGGTGTGGGGCTACCCACTCATCCTTGGGGATCCCGGGCTCTGTGGTCCGGCATTCCCGGGGCTGCAGCAGCAGCTCCAAGTCGTCAGCTGGGAATTCGACCAGGTCCCTGAGGGGCCCGGGCTCAGCGTCTGGTGGCCGGCTCAGAAGTACATCCTCAAAGTCCAGGGGCTCGACAACTTCAGTCAGTGGGACCTGGATTGGAGCAAAGTGGCTGTGATCGCACTGCCCAGGAGGCTGAGAGTGGAGGCGTGAGGCAGGGGTGGGTGCGTGCTGGCTTCAAACTCAAATAGGAGGGCGGTGGGAGCCATGGAGGGTGTTGGAGCTACGGAGGAGCCATGGAGGAGGGTGACCTCAGACTCTCCACCCCCACCTCAGCTTTCCCTGCCCTGCCCCTCCCTCCAGGGGCTCCAGGAAGGAAATCACACCCCATGCCTGGAAGGGCAGAAACTAACAGTGGAAGGAAAGAAATGTTGACAGAGGCCAGGCAAGACACAATTCCTAAATCCCTCCCAACCCTCTGGGCAACATGGATGGCCCCACCTCTCTTAGGCAAAAGCCACTCCCCTCCCCAACTTCCCTCCTCCATCCCCATCTGGGTGGTCCAGGTGGCTGGAGGTGGGGGACATCAG